ACTGCCAAATGGAGCATGCCTTGGACTCTGTGAGAGGGCTTATCCTGACCAGTTTTCTGTTTGTCTCTGCAACTCATCCAACCGTCTTTGGCCTGTGTATTTAGTATTTTTGTTTTGACTGTGTGTAGTGATTTGAGATATTTTGACTTTATTTATTACATTTTTACTATTTTGGAAAGTCCCAACCATAGTCTTTATAGCTAACCTGCTGGCCGACATGTTCTAAATAAGAAGTGAGCATGGGCACATTTCAGGCTCCATCTACTTCAGCTCAAATTCACTTTGTATTGAAGAAATTTCCCCCCTTTCTCCGTCACTGCTGCTTTTAGGCTTTGGTCTTAAAATGCTCATATTAACCCGCTCTACATGATCTCGACGTTTTTACTTTCACTATGTTGTCCTTGAATCAATTCCTATGGGTGATGTCACACTCCCTTAGTCCACTGCTTTATACAACGATAAAATATCTCTCTCATATTTTACCATGGAGTTACTACGGGTGCTTTTACAAAATGAAGACTTTAAACCATCCCAGATTCAGTTCAGACCAGTCACTTCAAACCCATGACAACCAGTTGACAAGCAAAGATATGAACATTTTTGGCCAAACTATTTCAATATTTGAGTGTTTGTCTATTTGAAGAGCACTTTAACACATGAGCACTTTTGGCAGATTTCAATTTGCCAGAAAAACTACTCCTTCATGCTTGTAAACACATTTTTTTTTACAACGCTGTGAAGGTCTTAAGCAGGAGAAGCCATGCTGTCAATACTGTCAGCATAAGATAAAACAGTTTTTCTTTCTGCTGTTGGAACAAAGCCAACACTGGACCTTGGTCAAGTGCCGTGCATACAGATGTCCAAGGGTAGCAGGGCACACATCAAAAGTGCTTGGGTTTTCTCCGGAGCACATCGCCCATGTCAATAATGAACCTACAGTGTCTGGATTCGAGCGGCCGCACATGTACAAAGGGCCTAGAGCCTCATCTTCGCCAGAGCGAGTTAGAAATCCCAGCTCTCCTTTTTCAAACACAACAAATGAAGTAGAACAGAACTGCGCCGAAGCATTCACTGCTTTCTGTGTGAGAGGTGGCTGTGAGAAGAGAGCACACTTTAATTAGCCTTATCTGTACATCTCTGTTTGGGTCGATGGAGAAGGAGAGGTGTGAGTGTGGGAAGGGAGAGATGCACTGTTCAAAAAGACAGCCCTAGACTAAACCTGTCTACTTCCTTCTTTGAATAAATTAAATAACAAAACAACAATGTACTAAAACATATTGTTGACTATAAATAACAATGCATAGTGATGACTTGTTTTCCAAAGCACATCATTTAGATTTTAATATGATCTATTTTGATGAGATATGATTATTCTACAAAGATATTTAAATAGAAAGGAATTTAGTGATTAACCATAACTTTTTTTTTTCTTTTCTTCTATAAATTGTTATCAATTACTAAGATATTACAACATTTTAGCCAAAGGTTTTGCATTTTTGGGACTGAAAATAACCATGTGATGGACACTGGTTCCCACTTAGCCTTTGTTGTTAATATTTTGAAAGTTTAAAAATGAATGAGAATTTTGCTCTCAGTGCCTTGGTGGGCTTCGAAGTGGGAAGGAATTTATTCTTTTAAGTTTTTTAGAATTAGTGTCAAATCTTTACTCAGCTAATGGCTTAATTGGCCTTCTATTTCTCACTTGTAGTCATTGAAGCATTGTGCTGAGTCTGTGTCCAAAAGACTTGTGATAAAAATGACCATTGATTGACTGTAATTATTATGTAAACATATTCTCCTCTGATCACTTTTGGGGCTCTTTGTGTTATTTGTGCATTTGTAAGTACTCAAATATGTTGGTGTATTAATCAGGCTTAATGAGTGTGATGTGTTGCAGTAATTAGTATCTTCAGGCACCTGTAATACTGCTGTAATTAGACCCCCGCTGCTGTCACGTACTCTCCAGAAAAATGTTACACCAGACTCTTTGCATGCTCTCAGTCTCTGCACAAGAGTCTGGAGTCAGCCATTCATTTGCCTGGAGGAGACAGCTGCATATGATATGGAGCACTAAAGCATGAATCACTTTGGACACTGTAAGAAGTCAGAATCAACACAATTATTCAGGTCCCTAAACTCAAACGTAAATGTAATGTGTTTTTTATTTCTTCACTTTATCATTCAGAAAGTTAGATTTCATCAAAGCTGGTCACAGATCACATAATTGAAATCTATTAGTTAATGCAAATGTCAAAAAATTGTAATGTTTCTTCTCCCAATAATCATAACATTAAAATTTGACAAAGTCACACAGGCATAAGATAATGGACAACCACATTATTTCAACTGTAAACCCAATGGTTATAAGTAGGGATGCACCGATCCAGCTTTTTCTGTTCCAATATCGATATTGATACTTTGGTTTTAAGTATATGCTGCAACCCAATATCAACCAATATTAAGGCAAAGACTGAAAATAGCATTTAGTTCCTCTAAACACAAACTGCAAAAGGAAAAAAAAAATTAAAAATCCATGTGTTTTGTAGTTGTTATTTGCAAGGTGTCCAACAAATCATCTTATTACACCAATGTATAGACCAAAATGGGATATCAGCTGAATCAATCAATATCTTGGACTTGATATCTGATCCACCAATTCAATTCAGTTCAATTCAGTCATGGTCCTGATATCTGTATTGTATCGGTGCATCCTTAGTTATAAGCCAACACAACAACCTGAGCCGCTGTTGCCCTACCACATGTAAGTAGGAGTCTTGGCGGCTGCAGTAATATCAGGCAGGTCTGTGAGGGGATACACCAAAGTATAAGGGTTGGGCGCTTATTATTTTAGGTTGAATTTCAATTTCTGATTAATTTGCAGAAACCTGTAGCCACGGTGATGACAGGCCTGTGACAAGTGAAAATCAATTACATCTCTTTGTGTCAGATAGCATAACCATAGCATCATCTTTGTTTCATCACTTTATTTGTTCTCCTCAGTCATTTCAAATATATTTTCTTCTAAAATATTTCAGTACATGACACAGTTACACAACAGCTGACACTGCTTTCACTTTTTCCCATATTCATCCCATTTTAAAGGTGCATTTCTCTTATCGTGATGTGTCTGCACATTGTTCTATATCATCACTATACTCTTGCCCCAAAACCTGCAAAACCACATGTACACACTGCATACCACCATCTGGAGTCAGTACAAAATCATCAGGGTGTGGTACAAAGTTCACTCTGAAGAGCTTAAGGCGTGTCAAAAAACTGTTCAATAGAGGGAAATATGGATTACAGTTTACTATTGTGTGGGGCTTCTAGAATACAGATTTTTTTTTTATCCTTAAAGGAGCCCTAACTTCTGCCACCTGGTTGTCTCCATGGAAATGTAAACGGTATTGGTATCTTGTACTTATAAAAAGTATGCTGAAGAAAAACACCTTCATAAACATCTATTCTCAAAGTGAGCGAGCTCCTCTCTCCACAGATGTGACCTGTAACATCATCTGGTAGTGTAATCTGCTTGACCCCAAGGAAATTTTGAATGACATACTGTGAAACACCTCAGGCAAAGATATAGGATTTCCACTGAGACAAACAGGTGGCCGACCCTCCACCAGAGAAGTTACATATAGTGCACCTTTAAAAAAAAAAAAAGCCAACTATTAAAAGAGATGTGTTGTTTAGTATGTCAGCTGATAGAGTTCATGTTCGTGGATGCATTGTCAGCTCCTGCACTTCGAGCCACTATTGTTTTCTTTGTCAAAACCCTTCAAAACAGTACAGCCAATGGACAGGTGACAGGTGAGTAACAGTCTGCTTACAGTGTCTGAAAACTTAGCTCAGAACTGACAATGAAAATGATAGCATGTGGAATGAATGGTTGAAATGTATGCCCAAAACTCAAACTAATTATTATTGTTTTACTAATGACATAACTTTTTTAAATAAATAATGAGGACCTCATCAGTATTGTTATTGTATTCAACAGTCACTGGTGGTGTTTTAAGTCAAATTTAATTGGGCAGTGTACCATTTTGTGCAGGCGCCAAGACCAGATAAAGATCTTAAATTGAGATTTTGTGTATATCCAATCAATATGTCATTTACATGGTTTGTTGATTTGATATGGCAATTCAGAAGTGAAAAGCTTAAAGGAATAACATTATATTTTGATTTGCCCTTCCCCACTTAAAATAAGACACATTACATTCTCTGACTAAAACTCCCACATCTGGGCTAATATGCACCACTGTGAAGCTTTTATTGAATTTATAAAATGCACTATGTTTACCTCCAAAAATAATACCAGTCTCTTCATTCTAGTTTATTTATTTGCGTTTTAAACATTCATTTTGCTGGAATATGTCATATTAAAGCATTTTAATTCATTTCTGAAATGAGATACTGAGACCAGCCCTAGTCCATTAAAATAACAAAAATATACAGTACAACAAATCCTTATTAGGGGTATTGTTTTCAGTTAAAACATGCAATGTAATGCACTTTCAATATTGTGTCTCATTTCCATATTAATTTCATAGTAACTTAAAATGTATAACAGGGAACTTTTTGTATATATATTATGTTTCAAATGGCACAAAGCCAATCCCAGTGACTTTAGAGCTGATGTTTACTGCTAAATGTATGTCCATTGTAAATGCATAAACCTTATTGACACATTGGTAATTTTTAATCTTGTTGTTACTAATGGCATACACAGCAGGAGTATGCACAAAATGTATCATGAAATATAAGAAATAGACCAAAAGACTGTTAAGTATTTGGTCCATCTATGCAATTGTCAAAGCTATAACTAAGACTGGGACCAACAATGAAGTTAACTAGAGAGTATGGTCTTTTCGCCACATTAAAAAAGAAAGGGATTATTGATGAGGATATTCAAGTTTTTATTCTCATGTTGTACGGAGTTACACTTTAAGACCAGCCTTGTACCTGTAGCACATTATCCTTACAGAGCACTCTTGGAGTGACATGTGAGTGTTTTCTATTGCTGATGAGTCCCAGCCTTCAGACCTATAGCACGAGATGCAAGCATGTGGTTTATGATGATGTCTGAAACATAAAGATTAGTACATGATTTAAAGAACTTGTGAATAGCATGTGAATATAAAAGGTGCCACAGGTATTCTGTCATGATAAGCATGTTTGCAATGTGAAGCATGAAATAATGGTTCTGCAGCATCATCTCTAAAAGCAGAATGAGGAAACAGACATAATATTGAACTGAAGCTCATTTTCATCAAAGCTTAACAGAACCATAAAACAACCAGTCTACAGTTTATTGTCCATATGTGCAATGGGTTAGTCTATACAGTGTGTATTGATGTACATAGACGAACAGTTCATAATGAAATTAAAATAATGAGTTATAAAAACACAAATAAAGTGTTTAAATTCTTACTGTCATTAAGTAGAAAAATGGTTGGATCAGAAACCAGCCCCAAACTATAATTGTGTGCACTTAGACAATATGGCGTCCATTGGTATTTGTTGGCAAAGAGAGGATGAGGCATGTACTGAGGTCTTACTGAGATGTTATTGAGGATACAGAGTATTGGTTGGTTGTTGCCAAAGTGCACAATTCTTCACTTCCCTTTCATACCATAAAATACGGTAATAATTTTTAACCAATTTGAATAAAAATCTAAAATAAAATATCAAAAACACTGAATATGTCAAATCAACATTACATATTTAGTAGGATGGAACTCAAAGGACCAGCAGAGGTTGTATAAACATTGTGCTTTTTCAAACAGACTTAAAGTCCTGCACTGTCCCAGTCATGTTGTTGTTTAAACTCTCATTATATTTCATTATATATAGGTATATATAGATAAATGTACACGTATATCCGCGCTGAGGTTTGTCTCTTGTAGCAAGCAAAAAGTGGGCTTGATGCTCCCTTGCTTTCTTATTTCCTCATTTTCTGAATTTGTCCTTTCATTTCTTGTAGTCCATAAGTGGTTTCCAACAAAAACAGGAAACAGTGTCCTTGAAAAAGGTTCCCAGTGTTCCTTTTCATTCATCATTCTTTTAGTCCTTCAAGGTCCATAGTCATCTTTGGTAGAGTGTCCGACACTTTGGTGTGTCTTTGGAACAGGACTTAGGATTGGGAATTTGGAATGGGGAGTAGATGGAGACAAGACAACATGTGCATGTGGGAAGGTTAATTGTATGGAAAGTGAGACGCTGACATGGCTGAATCTAATAAGGTTATATGAAGACATTATGAAGTTCTGAAGATCATTAAGATGCTCACCTAAATACAGTTATAAGTGCGTTTGGGAAAAGAGAAGACAGAAGAGACAGACTTATTAAGTATGATAGTGTGCTATGAGGGGCCAGAGGTACATGAGGGCTACAGCATATGATTAGATAGAGGAGAGCAAATGGAGGAGAGAGAGAAAGTCCTTGTTCATATTGTCAGGGCAGACCAGTGCTCATCATCTGAAGAGAAGTGACAGGAGACAGGAAAGGCCAAAGGTCAGCCAGCTGGCCAATGGGAGAGAGGCAGATCCACCAATCAAAACTGCAAAGAGATAGAAAAGAACAATATGGAATCTACATTAAAGTGCTTTCTGATGTTTATTAGAATATATTTCCGTAGTTTTAACATTCACGTCCTTATTTTATCTAATAGGCACAGTTTGCCCCAAATAATCCATAATCAATCCACCTGAGCACAGTGTCTATTGGGAGAGGTAATAAATTATAATGTGTCCTTTCTTACATTTTTGTGCACAGTTTCTGTCTCAAGTAAGTTGTGCATAAAAGAAACAGGTGAGATTTATGATGTGAACAGCTTGGATCCACTCTCAAAGGAAAGGTGCATCTTCCCTATCCATGACAGTCTGCTGATCAAAGCTGATATTGATGTTATGTGCTTTTATGTACTTGTGCATTAAAAACCCACTCACTGTATATTTTAACCTATTTGTATCTCACTTTGAGTTTGTTTCTTGCTGTCATACCATACTACAAGACAGAATTACAATGGGCACAAGGGTATTGCCATAAAAATACGGATATAGATCATAAAATAAGGCAAGATTCAAATATGGAGTTAAGTAGTAAGAATATTGCAAATAAAAATCTGTTGGTCGCTTTATATTTATCAAGCAAAATGGATATGTAGGTATACTAAAGGCTGTGTACATTAAACTCCCTATTAAATATATTACTAATACACTGCTAAAAGTATAATATCCAATTTAATACTACACATTTTCTCCTTCTAATTACATAAATAATAAAGATCATAAAAGACACTACTCAAATGTCAACAATATTAAGTAAGTGTGTTTTAGGCAATGCTCTGTCTTAAAACTCATTACTTAGATGGCTAGCTAAATTTCAGCCCTGCATTCGTTATTGATATCTATTTGCACATTATCATAGTTTTACTTTAATCCATCCACTAATCCTTATTTTATGTCCCTAAGTCCTTTACAGCTTAGCCCATACTCTTGACAGATGTGATAGTGTTGCTAATAGTGGCGCAGAGTTTTCAGTCGCTTTTGCTGATAATTACCCATCTGTCTCCACTGTACTGAACCTGCAGGACACGTGCACACAGACTCACAGCTCAAGAGCCTTCCTGCTTCCTGTTTACACCTTCATCCATAATTCACTCCCTCCGCCAGCGCCTTTATATGCACATATGGGCTCCAACACTGGCGTCAATATGCACACAAACACCAGACAGACATCTCACAAGGCAGGATAAAAGTACTATTTAATAATTCATGTTTTTTTTTTTCATCTTTGTAGTTTTGACCAGGTTTGAGCACTGAAATGTGCATCAGGACGTTTTGTGCCACAGGTTGCACAGATAAAATGGATATCACTCATTATTCAAAATTATAGTATTAGTCATAGTCAAGTTACATACAAAACGATAAACTAGATCAATCGAAGCGCTGCAGGTCTCTCTCTGATATTCTCTTTCATAGTTGAGCCGCTGGACCATTTCTCCCCACTGTTTTTAAATCTAGTTTTCTCACACTTGCTGTAGTCTCTCTTCACTGACCTTTTTTCGTCTCTTCTGCAAAAAGCTGTAGGCTACACAATGCTTCCACACATTTGCATGGACATGAGCATCAGTGCCTTGTTACACTCCTGCACCTCAGCCTTAAGGCTCGCTTGGCCCTCACAAACATTTTACATGGTCAAATAAAGTTATATATTTAGACAGACACCTTGGTTTGACTTGTGCGTTCACATTACAGTTAAAAAAATGTATGGAGAGAGTGATGTGTGCCCTCAAATGAACTCATCAGGTGGTGCCGTCACGGGGTACTGTATGTTTGTGTATGTTAGAAGTAGATGTTAAAAGTAGACCTGGACTTAAAACAAAATGTTGGTTTGTGTACTATTTAATGTTAACTCATACATCAGGTTCAACATTTGGGAGTATGACATCACATTCTAGAAACTGAAAACCACCACTTTGGAACATGTTATTTTAGACTTTTACTTAATAACAGGTCAGTTGGCTGTGGTGACTCTAAATGCTGTCTAGTGTCCCTCTAACACTATCTTACCTGTCTTACCTGCGTTGGCTACAGTGTTCTCCTGTTTGCACTTCCCCAGTGTGATGGACACATCGTCAATGGCAATGTCACCCTCGAAACTAGGGCCTCGGATTCCTTCAAACATGATCTGGAAAAAGAGAAACAGACACAAGCTGTTAGAATGTATGATCTATAAAAGGCCAAGTCATACTGAGTCGGTGGAGTTTGTACAATTTGTGCTCCCATTACCTGCGTGGGTAAAAGTAAACACATAAGCTTGAAAGTAATTAAAATAATAGCTTTTAATAAATGTCCTTGTGTCCTTAGGCAAAGCACTTCACCCACATTCTCCGATATGAAAGTGGTGTGTGTGTGTCGGTGGTGGTCCGAGGGGCCGATGTTGCAGTTTTGCAGCCTCGCTTCTGTTACTCTACCCCAGTGCAGCTGTGGCTACGATAGTATCTCACTACCACCGAGTGTGGAGCGAATGAATAATGCACAGTAAAGCACTTCGGGTGTCTTAAAAGGTGCTAGATAAATACAATGCATTGTTATTATTAAAAATGACAATAGCAACTTAAAATTTGAAAAGTGTTGGAATCCCTTGGCATCAAGGAGGAAACGTCAGATGCAGAAGGAAAAGAGAACCTCTCTTGAGGCCCAAGCTGGTATAAGCCTTAGCCTCATCTACACTAACAGTGCATATTTGTCATACCAGTGAAACCATATTAAGTATGATTAGAGAACACCGAGGGTGAGTAATAAACACACAGAATGCCTAACACACATTATGTAAAGGTATTGGAATTCATTCTTTAGCAATCACTGCGGACCCCAAAACAAATGAAAATCTACAACTCATGGGAAAACTTTTCCAGGCAACTTTCCCATTTTAGCCACCAGCCATCTGCTTTTGACTGACAGCCTAATTACTGTAGTGTACTGAGGCACCAAAAGCCCACTGCAACCGGCTAATCAAAAAGCAAGCATATTCTTTCTGGAGTATAAGGAGGGGAAAAGCAAAAACAAGGAAACTTTGTCGCAAAAATAACAGCAAAACTGAGTCCCTCAGCCGTACTTATTAACTTCAGCCTTTGAAAGCAATACGATTCAAGAACTGCAGAAGTTAAGCCGTAATTATTTTTGTTGTTTTTACTGCAAATGCTTTTTAGTAATTCAAAGAGAGCCACACAAAGCAAGGCCCAGGTGTGAGTGTGTTTAAGGAAATAATTAAGCCCTTACATTTGTCCAGCAAGCTGTGCACAGTCATGTTAAGGTGGAAGTACATGCATGGGTGAGTGGTGCACACATGAGTGGCTCCACCTTAAACCTCCATCTGCCAGCACCAGTACACTGCAGCACAGTTAAACACAACATTTCACCAGGGATGTATGGGCAAATGCTGTTAAGTTTCTGTACATTTTATGTTGCTCATTGGTTAGACCAGCCAGTAGCATAATGTACAGTATAATAATTACCTGAAATTTCCTCCTTCTTCCCCTCATTCTATTCTGTGCTGTCTGATAAAATAAGACATGCATTAACTTGATCTCAAATGATTGTGACAGAATAAGCAGTGTGCATGTGCAGTCATAATCTTATGACTGAGTATAGGTTTTACTTTGTTTATAAACTGCTGTTTAAAGACATAATTTTCTTCCGGTCTTGGGAACAGCGTTTCATCTCCCGTTCAGACCTCCCATCGTCTCCCTAGAGCAGCCTCACCCATTTTCTCTTTCTCTCCTTCCTTCTGCCCATCCTTTCTCTGGGGAGGGCCTGTTTCCGTACAATCAATAATAATGATTGAGCTGTTTGCTGTTGACAATGGGAATTACCTGACACAACAGCTGCTTCCATGGTTGTTGTTTTCGGCTATTTAGCTTTGCTTCGAACCGCCTGACAAAGATCTGAATGGGCGTGTGCTTTGTTCTGTTGGTGATGGTGTTTGTAAAGGAGAAGAACACTGGTTTATTTGACCATGCACAAGGCGGGATATGCCTAGGTAATGTAGATCAGGTGATGTAATAATATGAAGGATGTTGCAACATGACAACAGTGTGTGTGAGCAAATTGCTAACATTAGTGTGTATATTATTGTAATAATATTAATAGTAGATTGAATGCTAAAGAAATTTAAAAAAAATTCAATAAGAGTAAACAGAATATTAAGTACTTGTACAATAGTTTTAAGAAAAGTTGCCTCTTAAATATTATTACATTTATACATAAAACAATGTATATAGGAGACAGATGATTTGCTCTTTAACCCTAGAAGAAAAACGTCAATAAATTATATTCATGATGTGGTTTAGGCCTATTTTTAAATTCAATAAATAATACAATAATTAAAATAACTACATTTTGATTAGTATCAGTATCAGTAAAGCATAAACGGCATCAATAGTATAGGTAAAGCCCAATGAGGGACAGGAGTTGAAAAATAGCACCAACTACACACCCTGTTAGTGTCGTATCTGTGGCCTACTCTGAATGTGATTTGTGTGACTACATTAACCTTGTCAAATAATAAAACATATAAATTAATAATAAAACAAATACAACAACAAAATGTTAATTCATATTTACCAAATAAAGTAAGAATGGCTTAGTAGCAACTTAATTAATTCCCTAACCTTCATTCTTAATTCATTACTTATGTATCTACAAAGATTGAATTATTCTTAATAGACTCGTTGTTCATTATGAATTACATATTTCCTGATGCTAAGTGAAGTGTTATAAAGTGGTACAAATTTCACTAGTTGTTTTAATTGCACTAAAATTAACTGTGCTTTCAGGGACTCTTAAACTTTTTTGATCCTTAAGGGAAATTATTTGGACACAGTAGCCCACACATCACAATATATTATAATAATAAAAAGCTAACATTTTAATGGTAATAATACATTCTAAATGAGTAGCAAAAAATACCAAGAGACTGGTGTCAAATAAGGCATAATTATAGAAATGTATATGTACAAGTAAAAAATAAATAAATAGAAATATAGTAATACAAATATATCTGAGCTATATACAAGAGGTCATTGGGAGTGCAAAGATGAGCAAAGATTAAATAGTGATTGGCATGAAATGTAAAGGTAAATTTTATGGAGTACAGTATGAATGTGGTTTTGTATCTCTCACTGTTTGAAATAAAACTGCTAATACAAATGGACTCTTCTAGGATGTTAGGTTTTTTTTTTGATTATTATTTATTTTGTTTCTTGTTGTGCTCATTCTGAAATGACCAAAAGGGTGATGTAGGACACGTACCCTCCTGAGCTTAGTAGTTGGCCACAGTTGTGATCTTCTCTATAAAGGTTAGTATTATCAGCCCACTGCCTGATCTGTCTAAAGGCTCTTTCCTCAGTGGACCCATATTTTTGAAGTGCATGTTGAGTGACTACATAGCACTATTTTTTTCATCTCTTCTTCATGTTGGGGGCATGTCCATGGAGGGAGTAAACTTTCTGGCCGGGTGCTCTGCTCACTGCCTGCATATGCGCTAAAGGGCTTTGAGGTGCTGCCACTCGGCTCTGCATTTCTGCTCCCTTTGTGATGGCTCCAACAAAAGTAATGATGTCTTTGAGAACTGCCTCTGCCCTGCTCAAAGGGGATCTGAAGTATGGCCACAGACGTGCATTTGTACACTTCACACAAACAGTGCAAGAAGACGCGTGTGTGGAGTTCAATAAAAATATGTTTACGGACGTTAAGCGAAGATTAAACTGTGCTTTTATTAAAAGACTTTCACAACTTTAATGCAACTAAAGACACATGCAAGAGATGTTTGAGGCCAATGCTACTCCATTACTCACAAGCAATTTTGCTTTTTGCAGTCAGTCCCAAGTCCAAATAAATAAAGTTGATTTCACTGTATTTACTGCACGAATAAAGATGCCACCTACATTTTCTATTTAATATTTCATGTTGATCCAAAGCAATTCATTTTGATTTTAAGATGATGTACAGTATTTAAATATACAATCAGTTTTGTAGTTTAGTTGTAGTTTTTTTGTTTGTTTGTTTTTACTAATAGATGGCAGATGTGAAACATGTTCCCCGTCACCTGGTCTTTGTTCAGGTACAAACTGGGACTTTGAAATGTATATGTGAAGAGCATGTCTTTTTCTTTTTGTGTAGAGGGCATAGAAGAAGTAGCAAGAAAAAATATTTCTCAAAACTATAATGCTTTAGCACAGGTTTACACAGAGTTATGATATGAGGAATGCAGAGTAACTCCACATTACACTGCACCAGGGTGACAGTTTTACACTTTGATCAACTCAGGCACATTGCCTTCAGTTGAGCTGTCAGTGGCATATTTATGACAGGGCAAAATACCATATAGTGTTACAAATAATGATGTAAATGTACACTATCACAAACAGTAAGTATTCGTGCCCATCACCAGTCTACATAGATGTATGTTTTAGGCTAGAACACTGTCACTCTGTGTGTGTGGATGTGTGTGAACCCTGGACTGCTGCCAGGCTGCTTCACAAATTTACATAAAAATGTGTGTGGGGTGGGACGGGGAAGAACATAAATAAAACAAAATGTTAACCAGGGCTGTGCAGCAACATTGTATAAATTAGACGACCATGGCCTTTTGACCAATTAGACTCTTCACTCTGCTTTCTGCAGGCTTTCCCTACAGCTACCAAGCGCCTATTAAATTAAACAAGCCCTTCCCATAACTAAGCTGAGCAGATCCAACAATCCCGACAGTGGGGATTCAGTGGCTGCGTGAATTTGACATTTTCTGGAAATGTGTGGATGATGCTGTCCTGTTACACATATATTTGTATGAATAAAGTAAAATGAAATGCACCCAAGGCTTTACAGTCATTCATCATCATTCTTACACTTGTTTTCTCCCTAGGCAATCATGGGTGAACCTTATGTGATCAGAGATATTAGTGACTATGGGAATCAAAGGAAACAGAAAAAGAATGGGCACAGTGGTAAGGCAGCTCTAGGGGGTGGCGCCTGAACAGGAGATAAAAACTGTTCCCAAAAAAGAAGGAAAATAATATAGCTGACATCTAATAACTGCTTAAAAACAACATTTAATCTTGTTTTCCTGAAAAACGATAGGCTGCATGTGTATTATCATTGTAAATATGTTTTGGTTCATACGATTTT